TCCAGGGAGTCTAACCCTGCCAACTGAAGCTAATCTACTTGTAAGCCCTTTCGTCTGACGACTCCAGGTCAGTGCCTGGCCCCCACGTACTCTACTCCAGCTAGGATTGGGGTAGCAAAGAGTGTCCTATGTGGGAAGTGGCTCGTTGACATACACAATACATGTCCGAGCCATCTTAGTTTGCTCAAGTTCACGAGCGTTCCTAAATTGGACTCTGGTCCTAGAATACGATCACGGACCGTGGAGTTTCGGATCCTCCGGTGCAACCTATGCCCGCAATACCTACCCCCACCCTAACATTTTGTTTACCGTTAATGTATTTAAAAAAATCCTTTTTGCTAATTTTTACATTTTCAGACAACCTCTTTCATACATCTTTTTTGATGTCCTAATTTCCTGTTTGACTAACTTTCTTGATCTTCTATAATCTTTTAAATCTCCCATCATACTAGTCAAGCTATTTTTCTTAAATTTGTGATTCTTTTCTTTAATTTTATCCCTTATAACTTATGCGAACCAATTCTTTCTATAAGGAATATGTTTATCTTGAGTATTTAAAAACTTATCTTTAAAAATTTTGCACATTTGATCAGTGTCTCCAAATAATTCAACTGCCCAATTTACAAACAATAATTCTTGTTACATCCCTTCAAAATTTGCTTTCTTTGAAATTTGTAACCAAAATATCATTATTCCTGATCTCCATATGCAGCAAAATATCGAAACTAATAGAGCAATGATCACTTTCACCCAGATGTTTCCCAATTTCCACCCTCTCAACCATTTCAATATTAGAAGTTAACAATAAATCTAAAACAGCATTGTTTCTAGTAGGTTCCTTGACCAATTGGTGAAGAAAGCCATCTAAAGACAGACGTGGTTTGCAAAGCTTTATGGTTTTATTTATTTATTTATGTGTGTGGAATATATAGCACATACTTCAAACATTAACCTCAAATAAAATGTGTTATTTAATATAAAGATGTATATCTCTAAAATCCAGATATTAGCAGCAAATAAACAGTTTAGAAGTTAAGGAGCTTTGAATATTTTGCCAATTCTATAGACCTGAATGAATGTATGTAAATATTTGATGTTAAAATAAAATCTATCAATTTCGTAAGTATTTTATTTCTTTACTATACATCACTGCACTTCCACAACTGTAAATAACTGCTTGCCAGCCACATGCATAGCATTGACTTGCAAGCCAGTCATTAATAGTTGATTATATAACAAAAATAGAAAGAGTGAAATAAATATATAGAAAATATTTTGCTGCAATAGGTTTCATACTTGATATATTCTATATTATTTACAGTTACACAGATGAACAGGAATAGAAGAATTACATTTTACATCTACAAAATCTCAAAGTAATAACAAATTACCCCTTTGCGAACATCAAGTAACAGCCTAGATCTTTCATATTGCTCACTTTTAAATAAACATCAGGTTTTTCACGTACACAAATAGAACTAAAACATCATAGGATAACTGGAGTATAAAAGCTTACAGGATTTTATTAATCAAAACTTTGCTAAAATATCATTAGTGTGCAATACAATCCCAATTTAAAACAGATAACGTTGATAGAAATTTTTTACTTCACCCAAAGCATTCTTTCTACAATAATTATCATTACGATGATAAATCTTAAAAGAAATTACCAATACATATTTTTCCTTAAAATACTTTGAAACAGTGTAAAAACTCACCTTTTAATGCATCCAATAATGCCCCATTCAGGTAATCCCTCCAAAATGCATCCAAGTAGGTGATTTCAGAGAACCTAATGTTACACACAATGTCTCCAAGGTCTCGAGAACGTAAGATGGTGTTTGCTTGGGAGAAACATTCCAGCTGACGTTCAATTAGATCTGCTTTGTTTGATGATATTGCTCCTTGAAGAGCATTTTCATAATTGCAGTACTCGGCTCTCACCCTTAGTCGAACATCTTACAGGAGTGATGAATAATAAAATTACAAAGTTTAGTTTATAGTTATTAACTATTGGATAAATATTTCTAAGTTGAAAGTATACTTGAAATTTATTGTTTTTAAATAGAGAAATCCTTTGTAGGCATACAAAAAATAAATAGCAGATATAGTCAGAATGAAACTTATTACTTACAATAAAATATACATTCTAATAATTGCTTTTTATTGAATTAAAAAGAAATTGTCAACAAAAACTATTACTTTAAGAAAATAATTTTATTTCATATTAATGTTTAATTTGTCATTGTGTGTTATCAATCAATCTTGTGCATAACGTACAGACAACAAGAGGAAATTTGGTTCTTTAAGGTTGTCTTTGCACATACACCCTTCAGAAAAGTTAAAAATTTAAATCCACTCTTTATCTTTCTGGAAGTCATCAATTTCCCTTATAAATTTCTGTAATGTTACAGCCTCCATCAATCTCATAGAAGCTGATTACATAAGCTAATCACACTGCTTAAAAAAAGAAAATTCTTGACTGGAGCCTAGTCTGTTTTTTTCCAAGTCTTAAAGTTGTTTCAACAGCATGTCTAATAAAGTAAGACCAACTGTAGAAATTTATGTGAATGATAACTAGATGGGGAAAAATGGTAGTATGTGGCAACACTTGACAAAGTACATGTGTACCTACATATGTGTAGCAAATCCTACGTTTAATTTTCTACTGGCCAAATGGTGAAAACAATTTCCAAAAGTGGTACATGGCATGTCTCAAAACTTTTTCAAAGGGATTCATATGATCATAGCTCAATACCATACCAGAGGAAATTAGGGATCAATATTCTGGACTATTTGTACCATACAGAAATACAAGCTTCATATGGAATAAAGCTAACATGGTAGGGGTTCACCAAAATAAAGCTTCCAGCCAGACCACTCTTCAATCAGCTAGAGAATGAAACAAGTATTTATGCTATTCCATATGAAGACATGCTGATTAAGTCTCTTCAGTCATTGCATAAAATTTCGGTGTGATCAGACTGAGAAACTGTCACTCTCTTACACAAGGTAGATTATGGAGAGCATGCAGGGAAGACTTCTGTGCTTTGTAGATAGTAGCCTCAAGATGGAACCTTTGCAATGGAAAGTATGCTGCAGGGCTTTTATCAAGGCACATATGGTCATCAGATGGAGCATGAATGGACATGGCAACATGGGCTGTAAGGACATGATGAGGTTCCAAAGTCATTTTAATATAATACACTCAACCTTCTGTGTATGTTACTTGAAACAGTCATTGATATACATAACCTAAGGATGGTTAGATACTGCACCAGGACCCATCAGTCTGAACTGAAAATTTATATAACAATATTTTTTGCTCTGTGCAGACTTACTGAAAAGTTTCTTACTTCAGCAGCCAGTGAGAAGCTTTAATGAACAAGCAGAAGGATAGTTTGATGTCAGACCAAAGCATTCTTGTAAATAAAGAGTTTGTTGCAGTTGTCTACTTATATCCATCAGAGTAGTTATCAAGTTACTTTTTGGTGTTATGACAAAAGAATCTGTTTATTCAATTGTTTTAATTTCTCCTGTTTCATCTAAGTTCAGTTTTATTTCATCTTTTTTATGTCAGTTTGTAATAGATTTTAATTTTGTTTTGTAATATAATGTGTAACTGGTCAGCATTTTAATTTTATAATGGATTTAATTTTGTATTCAGTTCTTATTTTATTTTACAATTCTGCTTAACTTTTAAATTCCTAGAATTAAAATGAATTCTGAAGAGATACCTACCTCTGAAATACTGAAAGCCTATCCTTTCTTTGTTAACTTTGCTCTCATGTTGTCAAAAAGCATTTGATTCAAAGTTCTGAATGTCCTTGATGCAATGTACAGTATGTGTCAACTTGCCCATAATTCTATGCTCTTCCACCTTCCACATGGCTTATTGTACATGATTCAGGAGATCTTACATAATCTCTACTCTCCAGCCATAATTCAGATTTCATGAAGTTGCAATCGTGATGGAAAACCATATATAGCTCAGTTGTGGGGAACTAATTGGGAAAGTATATCAGAAGTAAGTATCTGTCCGAAATCCATTTTAATTCTAAAAATGTAAAATTCTAATCACATAGTTTTACCTCTGAAGTAATGAAAGCCAGAATACCCACATTGAGAACTAGGGATAATTAAGTTTATACTGAAAAATTAAGATATATGCTACAAAGTAGTAAGCTAATGTTCTAGATAACAATAAAGATGCAGGCAAGCAGCATCAGAGTAGAATCTAGAAACAGAAAGATTTGAAAAACTGGTTTTGAGGGAAAATGAGTGGAACAGACCAACCTTATATAAAGACTGGACCCTAAAGACACTCAGAAAGAAGGCATTCTTTTAAACTGAATACCACTTTACCCTTGTCACCCTTTAGTTCTTAAAAAGAGGAGTCAGTTAGGGCAGTAATGTTTTTGTACCCACAGAGCCAACAATGTGAACACAGATAGTGTCATAAACAGGTGAAAGAATATTATGTCCCACTCCTGTAGTGGAAGGTTCTCAGAGGAGTAGCCCAGTCAAACATTATGAATAGACATACTCCAAAGGTTTTAGCCCCTCTTTATCCATATCTAAAATTCCAGAGAGTCATGAAACTGGCTAAATTAATGGTAACACAGGGAAAACCAAAGAAAGACCCAAGACGTTGCAAGGATGGGGTCCAGAAACTTGAGGGCAGTGCAATGAGAACATCAAAATAATGCCACAAAAGGATGTACATGCAAAGATGGTAAAGATACAAACTAAGATATCATCAACCAAAAGATGGAACCCTCTTTCTGCTTCATGACAGCATAACCATTTCATGGAGCCCTACACAGAGGATGGAATTGTGTCTAGGACAAACACAGAGGTTAATGAACACATGAAAATGCTGACTGGATGAATCCAGATAAATAAGAATTTCCTAAGGAGAGAAGGAAGTAAATTATGCATATGCAATAAGGACAAATACAGTGAAAAGTAAAAACTTGCAGAAATCCAGACTATCATAAATAAATAATGTCCAAAAACAAGATAGACATTTTTGTTTATTAATCAAAACATTTCTCAATCTCAGACATGGGTAACAGGGGTGTTAAGACAGAATAAAAATTCCAGGCCTTTACATTTGATGGGCCCATCGCACTGATGCTCATAAGTGCTCGTAAAATGGGTTTTATGAGGGATTATTAGAGACATAACCAAGTATGTCATGATGCTCAATGTTCATGCACTCGACTGTTGTTTTATTATATAGGAAAAGCTCACATATAACTTTGTGTGACCCTGTTGGCTGCTCTGGTATTTAAATTTTAATTGGTCTAGACTAAGAATGTTACATGCACAGTAATATGATATTTTTGAACTATGCTGTTGTATTATACAGACATCCAATATGTACAGTACTATCTATTCATTGATTTTTTTATATACTGGTTAGCCTATATATAAGTTGTTTTTGGTAAATTTCTGTGTTATCAGTCACTAAGATTATCTTTTACATAGATTCTACTGTCTACTTATTTTATTAATTCAAGCTTGTTTATATGAAATTGTTTTATTACAATGTATGTTATGCAACATTTATATGTTTATACATTTGTACTTTTAAGGCTTTAAAAACTGCTTGAAGCTGATGAGAAGACTCTTCCTGGCATCACTGGTATTGCTAGTGATGGTCCTTCTGATTCCAGCATCCCTTATCAACCTTGGATAAAAGTAGCTCTGTATGCATTAGCTAAGGAAGCATATAGAAAGCTTCTTAAAATAGCTTACTTGCTTGCTGTGGATGGACAGCTTCTGTCAGCATTCAAAACTTTAGTTAAAGTGCAAAAAAACAAGGGGTACAACAGAGTTCAAATTTTGATAATGACAACAGAACAAAAGAATTTACTAACATTATTGCAAAAGCCATTTATGAGAAAGTAACAGTGATTTTATGTTCAGCAATAGATTTTGCATATCCTTAGTGGTGGAAGTCAGGCAAGAAAAACTGGCTCTAAAAAAGAACTTATTTTCATTAGAACAGTCAAGCAAGCTATACCCGCTTATTTCTGTGTTGCCTTATAGGACACTGTTAGTTTTGGTGATGTAGACGCAGACAATCGAAAGAGTATCATTGATGTTGTGTTCAAAGTTGATGGAAAGGTTTCAATTCCAACACAAGAAATACACTTACCTCCTATTTTCAGCTACAGCTGATTGAACCTCTGTTAAAATTGGAGTTTACAATGGACTGCTGACAAAACTGAAAAATTACAATTGCCTTTGGCTTCTAGGCATTCACTGCATTTCCCATTAGGTTGAATGGGTGTTGAAAGGTAATGTATACAATTCATTTGCTGATGTAAAAAACTTCATGACAACTATATATTACTTATTCAAAAAGTCTGGAAAGTTCAAAAGGTACTTTGAGACAACTAACAATGCATTTGGTGTGCAGCATTTCATTTTCCCCAAAATACATGGTACATGATTTGTTGCATACATAAGGCATAAAGTAAATCATTTACTGCATAAATTGGTAATTCTTACTCAAGCAAAAGAGAATTCCATTGCCAGTTGCAAGGAGAGAGCAGTATCTGTTAAACTTCATGGACTTTTAAAAAAAATCTTAAATGTTGCTTGTATGAAGATGTGCTGGATGAATGTTCTATTCTGTCTATGCAGTTTGAAAGAAAACATTTTATGTCATCAGATATTGCCTACGGTAAAATAAATGCAAAGGAAGAAACTTCAAGTACACACTTTGAAAATGTTTTGAAATAGTTCAAACTTGAACAGGAAATGAAATCAGGTATCCTGGCATCTTCAGAGCACTTTGTTCAAAACAGGGCACTAGGAAAGAAAACATGAAATACACTACTGTTGGCGTAAACTACAGCCTAATGAACAATGTAGACTGTGTTGAGAAAACTGTAAACACACTGAGAGTTACAGTCATTCCAAGCACACAGACTTGTCTTGAATACAGATTCTCATCATTTGAAAGTGAACTTTATCAAAATATGTTTTAAATAGATCCAGCAAACTGGGGTAACACCACTAGGGAAAGTTATCATTTTCCTACACTGAAAACAGATTTTCGATAGATACCGTTTCTCACACAAAAGTTCCCCTGCAATTGGAATTGCTGTAGGAACAAGGCACTATCAACCTGAACTCAGCATTATGACGAAAATCTAGCATTGGCTGGTCCAGCTCCCTCCCACATCAAATCTCCTGGAACAATAACCTAGGAAGTGGAAGGAAAGAGGGTTCCCAGCTTTGCCCTCTTCTCAAGAGAGTGAAAAGAGAAATAATGTTACTATATGCATGCTACACTCTCGAGGAAGCCTCCATGGTCTACTAACCCAGCAACTAGGAACTGGAGAGTGGTAAAGACTCCCAAACTCCACTCAAGGAAGAGAGGGTAAAAGGCAATTGGGAATCCAGAGAAAGGACACACCAGTGAAAGTGTAATGGGTGACTGCGAAACCCTATTTTGAAAAGCAGACTGTTCCCAATTTATTCAATTGAGGGATGGACAAATCCCTTTCTACTTTGCTCATGATAGTCTATGAGTGACAGTCTGCCATGTATGGAATAGAATGAAACAGAGATATAAATATATAAACCACTAGTGGTCTTGTGGAACACCCCATCTCAACAGTGTGTGTGTTACAACCATAAAGGAAGTAGGTGCAGGCTTTATTTTTAGTATTATTAAATTGAGGCACATCTGACCAAGCAGCACTCACCACTGAACGGGATACAAAGATGTAACAAAAACATGAGAAAAGAAAAGAATATAAGAAAAACACTCAGCCCAAGTTAGAGGTGAACTGGAGCACGGAGAATTGCCACTGGAGGGAAATGATATTCACCAGAGAAGGACATCCAAATGAGGTTGACAAAGGAGTGATGGAGACAGAGGTAGAGGAGATGATATCTGTAGAGTTTTAGAAGAGAGAACCAAGGTTGAGCTGGCCAATATGAAGGCACAAAAAGTACCCGACATAGAGTGGCTTGGATGAAGGAGAGAACCTTAGGTATGAGACATATAAGTGGGAAGACATAAATGTGGAGGCCCCTCCAATTCCTGACTGAAGACATCAATCCCAAAGCCTGAAGATGAGGAACCAGAGGCAAAAAGAATGGCAGTTTGGTGTTGACATGAGTGGCAAAAGCATTGATTTGGGAAGTAGCCAGACGAGAGTACAACCATCAGAAAACCTGAGGATCCAGGAACCACTCCATTGGAAGAATTTTGTTTAGACATAACACCCAATCCACTATGAGATTCAAAGCACCTGGGATATGGCAAGCTAATAATTGAATCTAGTGCTTGTGTGCCCAGAAAAGGAGTTCCAGCATTCAAAAATTAACATTTTTCAAAATTTAAAATGTATTTCCAATAGTACTTACCTCCACTGATACTTATAGCAGGTTGAACTGCCTAAAGTTCTAATAGACTGATATTAGAATGTGATTCCTGATGAGAACAGGAACTTGAAAGACAATGATCATCCCATTATAGCACCCATGCACTTGAGAGAAGCATGTGTAAAGAGATACAGATCTAAATGGGGTGTAAGAAAAGATGAATATACAGCAGTAATCCCTTGACTGAACCAATCTTGAAGGTAATTGAGAGCAGCAGAAAAACAAATTCTTGGACAAAACAAATCTGAAGATAGATGCTATTGAGAGGCAAGTTCTTACTGAAGGTGTCTCATGTGAGCACAACCTAAGAAAAGCATCATCTTCAAAACAGAGAGAACATATTTTGCAGAAGAGAAGTAGGTACATTCGAGACTCTATGAATTGCAAAGTCAAAGAAGATGGGTGAAGAGTTACTTCAAAAGTATTTGTACAAAATTCCAAACAAACCAGATAACAATTCAGATGGGAAAGATCTATTACCAGTCTCCAATCTCTCAATTTACTTAGTGCTATAGAGAGATAAGAATAAAAACTTGAGGAAGCATGGAGTAAGTGAATCGTTTATAATATAGCTATACGAGTTAAGAATTAAAAAACAAGAAGAAATAAACAAACCATGTTGTAACTGAGACCAAGTCTGAAAGAACTGCAGAAAGAGAAACAAAACAGCTGCAAGGTCCTGAGAAGAGGTATCAGTAAAACAAAATTACCTTCAGAAGACAGGGTGGGAGACCAAATGGAACATGTCCATCTCCCAAGAACAACAATCTGAGGGGCAAAAGTTTCAGACATCAAATGAATAGATTTCTAAAAGACCAGAGGAAAGAGCAATAATGGGCAAATGTGATATTTTGATACTGCAATAATTTTGAAAAGCATCAGCCATAACTTAAATGTCAAGAGAAGGAGGGAAAAATAAAGATTCCAAAATGGAATCTGGTAACAAGGCACTTGAACCTTCAGGTCTTACAGAAATTGATTCAAGGTTTAAAATGTTAATATCTGGGACTTAAAGAAATATGTCAAGCTGAAACCTCATCAGGAGTGGGGAAGGCTAGCAAATCCTGCTCTTCAGACAAAGGTGAAAAAAAAACTATGCAAAAGAACTACTATGGGCTGGTAACCTGCAAAATTTGCATCCATCAGTACTTGGTACTTGCCTGAAACAACCAAAGAAGACTTGGCATTAATGGCTTCAATATGTTGTTTGATAAAAGCCAACAATGCAGCAACAGGAATTCCTTTTACATCAAGGGAAGGTTGCAGGAATAAATCTTCAGAAGAAGTGGAAGTATTTATGTCATTGATAAAAGCATTAAAAAAATTGAGGGAAGCATTAATAGAAGTTTTAGTATTAACATGAACTTCAGAATTTATCACAAACAAGATTGCACAATGTGAAATCACAATTGCCAACAAGAAATTCTGAATTATGATGAGAAGACAGTACTATATGAGATCTCCTGATACATGTACAATAAATCACATGAGAGAGAAGAGATTTATGGGTGATACATATGCTGCATTGTATCAAGGACATTCAGAACTCTGGGTCACATGTTTCTTGACAGCATGAGAGTAAACTCAACAAAGAAAGGAAAGGCTTTCAGTATTTCAGAGGTTAAAATACCTGCTTTTAACTTTTATTTAATGTTGTTTGTATGTAGGTAACTCAGCATTTTGTTTATTACAAATTGTGATTTTGAGCATTGTACTTTAATTTCACTATTTTTGAATTTACTTTTTTTGTATTTCAACTTGTTATTGAAGTATTTGTGTGTAGTTAAACTTCATATGGCTAATTTTTCCAAATTTTATTTTTACAATCACCTCTCGGCCTTAGCTATCTTATCTGCCTGGGGTAAAGCTTATATAAGAAAATTTATAAAAGAATAGTACTTATTTACTGACTTTATCATACACATATTTGTCATTATAATTAAAGTACGCATAAATAAGCTAATGAGATCTTACAAGTTATATATTAAGAAAAGTGACATTCTTGTACCATACAAAATATTTTAGGTAACTTTCAATACCAATTCCAATGTATATCATAATTTTTTTTTTCAATTCATTCCAAAAACAGATTTTCAAATAAGAAAATATCATTCTGTCCATAAATTATAAAGTATATGTACTTCTGCAGGATCCCCAAAAGTATTGTGTTTCAAGAGTAAATAAAACCAAAACAAAGAGTAACAAATATTTTTATCTCTTGCTTTTGAAGTTCATATGTCACGCTGTGTTGCAGCCTATAGAGTGCATAATTCTTCTCATGATTCATGGCATGCACACATTTTACTGACATCCCGACAGTAGAAATTGCCATGTTTAGCATCCCTTATGTGACATCATTTTAGTGTCTACTGACTGACAGACAGACAACATACTACTATATAGTGGTTAAAACAGGTGACTGTTTCAGGCAGTCTTTGGTCCCCCTTCTGGGGGAAAAAATTAATCAAATTGCTTACATGTAATTGCTCTAACATTTGCTTTTTTTACAAAATCAATAATTTAACATCTTAAAAGTTATTAATATTGATAATTAGATATATACAAAAGAAATAAAACTGTAATACACTCACTGTGTCTGAAGTTTAAAGTAAAAAATTAGTTACTTTGTATCTCTGCCATACAAAAATGAAAAAATACTCTCACAAAGATTATTTTTCCTTTCCAATCAAGTATATGTAGAAATTATTATTGATATTTGAGTTTGTGTTTTTTCAAAATCCTATTTTAAAATAACATCCAAATTTCAAATAGTTGAAGTTTTTGTAATGGACAATCTGTTGGAACATTATATTTATATACCCATCAGGAATCTATCCTTCAGAATTTTCTTCATTATCAATGATTAATTAACAATGAACTTGAAGGAAATTAGAAAACATTTATAAAAGTCAAGATAATCCATGATAAAAATGCTGAGAATTAACCAATGAGTTAAGATAAACATACCACTTGTATACTTAATCCTAGCACCTGAAGGGAAATCTGTCTGGTCATCTAGTTCAGGTTTATGAGATTCTTTTGTTTTTTGATATCTTGGGCTTCGTCTTAGTTTTTTTACTGGTGAATCTATATCATCCCTGTTTTGACTTCTTTCAACTCTTGTTTCTAATGTGGTTGATGGTTCTCTTTCTGTTGTGAAACTTGAACTTAAACAAGAGGTTGGTCTTGAAACCTGATCATTAATGCTTTTAAGTTGACTTGAATGGAGTAGATAGTGTTCAACAGGATCTGGTAAAACTATAAAGAAATATTAAATTGAACATGTTTATGCAAATTAATTTCTTGGCCAAACACTCTTCCATTAAAAAAAAAGTGATTTAAATAAGTCAAACAATGAGAACATCTGTGATCTCAGAACCAGTTTTAAGTTATCCAACAAGATAAATATAAGGCCATGCAAAAAATATCACATAAAATTATATAAGAACACTCACAAATGTACAGCACTATACATAAAATACAGTCTACTCAATCATTACTATGTATTTCAAGTTTGAAACATGATAGATTATTTTTAATGCAAATATTACAGAACTCTCTAATGTCTGAAGACAAAATGAATGAATATAAAGCAAATTTGAGCTTAAGTGTTTTTAATATTTTGTGTGACCACACTTGGCTGAAATCACTGCCTGAAGCTGGTGAGAAATAGTTTCTTTGAGGTTTTGGAGATACTCAGTGGGAACTGAATTTCAAGCATATTGAATTATTGTTCATTGGACCTTTGATTTTCACTGCATTTGCTGATTTTCCAGATAAAAATAGTACTATATATACACACATACTACAATATTGAAGTCTGGGCTCTTTGGAGGCCACATTAAGTATGCAAAAGTTCCATCTGCTTCCTCTCTATTAAGATAGTTTTATTGCATTTGCTGTGCATTTAGGATTGTTATAAAAAATAGCTGGGCAATTTAATCCATTATTTGATAACCTATGAGCAGCAATTACATCTATGAGTGTCACATAAATTAACTGCTCAATCAAAATTACTAATTTTGAACTGTTAACTGGAGGGAAGGAACTGGCTGGTAGCACCTGCTGCCACCTTTTTTTCTTGTATGTACCATAGTTTCAGAAATGCTGTACTAATCAATTAACTGAATGTCATTGATTAATATGGCTGTTTATTAATCAACCAGAAAATACTACTAATCTCCCAGCTCGAATATATATATAATCCACATAAGCTGCAATCAAGGGTTTCAAGTGTGCAAAGATTTTAGTTAGCAATTGTTATGGGCAACTTGATTAAGGAAAAGAAAAGGTATATAAAGAATTCTAGATTAGTGTTATTAGTAAACTGATAAACAACAATTTGTAAATATAATGAAGTGGTTTATTTTTTGGGGAATGTACTGCATGTTTTGACAGAACATTGGTCTGTTTTCTATAGTTACCTGAGGAGGAGCCCTTATCTGTGTTTTGAGGCAATTCGAAGTCCCATATGACTAGACATATCTACTGGGAACTGCTTGGGAGATATTGTAATGAAGTGTCTTGTACTACACTTTCACATAACTTCACAGTGCTACATCTCAAATGGGTTCTTACCAGGGATGAAAGGCACCACTCACCAAGGAAACTCTCCCTACACAGCGACATCCAAGCAGCTTGGGACTGAGAAAGTAAGGGTTCTCCCATTCTCCACTATATGAACACAGGATGGAGGAATACAAATAGGAGATAACAAGGGAGTGTGTGCATGGACTACTCTCATCAAGCACAATATCTTGAAATGGGTCCTCACCAAGAGACAGTGCAATGGGTTACTACAACTAGAAACAGCAAGCATGAGCCAAATGTAAAGGCAGCATTACACCTGGTGCTGTCTTCAGAAGAAAAGAGTGGTCAGGAAGCAACATTAAATGGTCCCTATGATATAGAGTATGCAAGGCATCTAAACCATATATCTGAACAAGGATGACCACAAGCCAGTAGAAAGAGAGAACATGTCTTCAGGGACAAATGACATAAGGAACAGGAAGCCAATGTCTTAAAAAGGAAGCATCTAAGAGTCCGAAGAACTGCACAAAGGTCCTAGTCAGGAAGAGAGAGATTGGATAAGAGGAACAATAGACAAAAGAGGCCTTGAATAGGACAATGACAACAAATGAAAGGAAGGGATTATTAACTGGCAAGAGGTGAAAGATATAGACAAATCCACACCACTTGGTAATCTGCAATGGTTGAAACAGACAGGTCTTTTTGAAAAAGCCAGGTAAAGAATGAAGTAAGAAGTGGCAGAGTAGAATAACCTGGTGGAAGAGAGTGGGGGAAGAATTAGTGGTGGTAAACAGCCCATTTACATTGATAGAAGGCAAGAGTATAAGGCTGACAAAAATGAGAAACAGACTACCCAGCAGAAAAATCTCATCCATCTCACAAGGGACCAAAGAAATGTCACAGATGAAGATATCACATCCAGTGGTGAAAGATGAAATGTCCAGAGTTGGCAAAGAAGGGATCTCCAGATAGGTAGAGGAAGAGGTTCCCCAGATGGCATGTGAAGCAGAATTGGAAACCACAACTGAGCCAGCCAAGGGGAAGCAACAAGAAGAACCTGGCAAGGGGTAATGGTAGAGAATACTTGGGAAGAAGGTGAAGTGAAGGATAGGCATAAATATTGGACCAATCCTGTCTTAAAGCATTCACATCCAGAGTGGTTGAGTGGTGACCAAAAGAAAGAAAACTTGGAATTTAATTGAGTCACAAAAACATTGGTCAATGGGGTTCCAAAATGGGGAAAAAACAAACTGGAAGACTGAGGGATTCAACTACCATTCTGTGGGATGGATCTCATCCAGTCAAAACAATGGATCTGCCATTAGATTCAAAACCTTAGAACATGACATACTGCTAGGTGAATGTGATGCTCAATAGATCAGTAAAAGAATTTGAGGGGGAAAAAGCTTAAGTCTCAAGAGCAAATGCCTCCCTGGCAAATGATGTACAAATGACTACAGAGAAGTCTGAGTGGAACCATTACAAGAAGACCTGACAACCACGACTACAGAAATTGGCAGGCCCAATGATCTGCAGTCATCTCCTGAATATTGACATGTATAGACAGCTTGTCTGGAGACCAGATCCTGGAGAGAATGATCATATCGAGAATAACTCCCTTATTGGAAAGAGATGCAAGTCCAATGAGGGGTAGAAATGGAATAACCTGGATTGTGCCGAAGTGATCAAGCTATCACTACATGGGAATGTAGAGAGGAAGGGAGAAATATGAGGGTAAATAACAGACTGCAGGGCATTTCTCTGATCCTCTAGAGCCCAGTGAAGGGGATGCATGTGTACACAACCAAAAGAAACCAGGGTTGAGAAACATAAGAGTCCCCAAAAGTGAGAGAACTGATTGTGCAAGAAGAGAAGGAAAGTTAAAAGCCTCCAACTCCAAGATCTCCATGGCACGCAGGTGCAAGGAACAGGGTTGAGCCAATCCACGTTGAATAAAACTCTCATGTGGAATATTGAGTGGGAGTCAAAACTGATTTGAAAATTTAACCAGTTAGCTCAAGGAAAACATTTCCTGAACAATGGAGGTAGCAATTGTCAAATCCTATTGAGATGGGACCAGGAGAAATCATTTATCTATATAATAATGAAAATAAAATAAAGGCCAAGAAGATGCATGCAAGGAGAAAAGAACCACATAATCTGGTTGGAAACATAAGAAGCCATGTCTAGGCCAAAAAGAAGGACACATAACTGAATAACCATTGTGAATATGCCAGTGGAAATGACCAGACATGGGTCAAATGGGAATGAGAAGGAAGGCATCTGAAATGACCTTGATCATCCATGGCCTGGGAAATAGTACCCAACACAGACTGAGAAAACAGCTCATTCAAAATTTATGAACAAGAAAGAGATTTAGAGACAACAGGGTGCCAATCTCCTATATTTTTAGGAACAAAAACAGTTGGGAATAAAAGCCCCTGAGTGGGGCAAGAGACAAGTTCTATAGCTTCCATTGCCAACAGACGTCACCACATCCTGAAGACATGGAAGACACAATGGATCAGAGGTAGGAGTATGGGGGAGAGGATGAGAAGAAAGATGAGGTGAAGCAAGAAAATACTTAGATAAACCTCAAGAAAGAACTTGCACAACCCAAGAGTTGCTGGAGAAAGAAGACCACAGGTTGGTAAAATGGAAGAGGCAGGTATCAACAGGCCCAGAATCAGCTCCAAACACTAGTCACTGCAAAGACCTGAGATGGCCTGCACTACAGGAGTGGAGACAGTGAAAAGAAGTGATTGGATGAGAAAAAAGAGAGGGTAGCCCAATTTAATGGGTTACAAACTGAGGTACCTGTGGTCTGGTGAGTCAGGAAACAATGGACAACTTCTGGCGAGTAGCATCAGCCCAGAATTCCATGGAGACAGTTTTGTTCATCCCCAAAGTTAACATTTTCCTTACATGAAAATGTATTTCCAATCAATACTTAACTCTACACACAGAACAGCTTAATTCCTTCACACATCTGTCCATGAGATTTGCATGCGACTAGCCTTGAGCCACCTCCCACCTAAAAAAAAATGCTAGTTTACCGTGAACTGCACTAGTGCATGATATCATGCAACAATAGCCTTCCATCAATAGGAGGACAACATGACCTCCTTGCACAGTAGTTTCCCCAAAGCACTTATGCTTGAATTAACTCTATTTTTTAGATCAGACAAGAAGAAAGTGCACCAAATGTGGGGAGAATGGGTGGGAAGATTTCTTGACCACTTGGTGAAGAAAACATCCTAAATGGTTTCTAAAAGCCTTTCATCCTCATAGTTTAACTCTTAACGTTTCCCATAATTGTGATCTCATTAACTGCTGAAATCTTAACTAGCATCATTGTAGAGTTTTTCATTACTTTCATCTGGTAGTCTGTAACAAATTCTCAATATAAGCTTTCCTTCCCTATGTCCACTAACAACAACCCAAATAGATTCAATCTCCTTACTATTATCTTTGATATCCTCAACATCAATAGGATATAAATCACATTCCTCCCCATCTCTTTATTGCTCAATCCCTATTAACTAACATATAATCCTGTATTTCAAAGAAATGCCAGTCTATAAAATTGTCTATATCTAACCAAATTTCAGTTATTTGCATTATATCAAAATGCTCCATGCTTTACAATAGTAACAATTTACCCTTTTCTCAAAAATACTTCTGTATTTTGTTCCTATACTACACTTTTCTGAAAATTTTTTATGCATTTAGTTTATCACAATCCTCAAAATTGTCTATACCATTACCAAGTTTAAAGTTGCACTTGTAGCAAAGTTAATAACCCTTGCAAACAAGCCAGCCCCACCCTATTTATATTTAAACTATTAATTCCAAAAAGCTCCCTTTTTCCATTGAACTGATCCCACTTCCCAAGTCCAACCAGCTACACTAGTAATCCTTAGAAAGTTACATATTAACCTAATACTAGGATTGTAATCTGGTGACCTACTTATAATTTTCTTCCCAAAATTAAATCTCAGCAGTATCCTTGACACAATTAAGTTATGGCCTTTTTCTTTAAATGTCTTTATAAACCCCCTGTTCCTACCCTTCCCTACATCATTAGCCGGTATGTGCACAACTGGCTGCTTCACAAACAGCAGTGTTTACTATATCACTTGCTCTGTCAATTAAAACCTCGACTCCTGTCCCTGGATAGCATAATCTAATACTTTTTTTTTATTCCTATTAGTATTAATCTCACAGATTATCCTATCCATGTGCCCTATCAAAGAATCACCTATAACTATACCCTCCTTAAGTTTTTATTCCCATCCTTCAATGTCATTTTTGTTTTTCTTCCCTTCCATAGTTCCTCATCTGCACAACATAAAGGTAAAATCTGTTACACAATAGAATCTGCTCAATACTATTTAAATACACTACTAGTATTAGTAATTGCCGAGTAGTATTACTACTCGTATAAGTATTAGCCCTAACACTAACAGTATTGTTTCTAACATCTTGCAAGAGGTTATTAGCTACTAGTACTAAATCCATTGCATGTAAAAGTTTAACTTTACGGTTCTCGTGAAATCATACTGTCATTTTTCACAGTTAATAATTCTCTTTATCTATCTCCTTTACTCTAAGATAGCCTACAATTTCTCCTCCAATCCGCAAACGCTACAATATGCAAACAAATTGCACATCTTTACTTATACTAATAGTAATACGCAGAAACAGTACTATTACTAGTATTAGTGGCTTCCAACATATCCACTGTAGACTTAACAGTAACAGTCATTATAACTTATAAGTATATTTATGATATTAATTATAATTACGTTTATTAAATCTAAAAAAAAAAGTTGTTTTATTCAGAAAATGAGGTTTCATTCGAATTTCACATTTTATTATCCTTTATAACATTAAAAGTAGCAGTTAACCCTAAGAACTATATACTTCTTACCTTTTCGCTTACTTTTCACACTGACTAGATGCAGTAAGTCATAACGATTAATACATTTCAATAAGTGAATTATACTACGAAAATTGTTTTCGTCACAAGCTCCACATTTCACCAAAGCCAAAATCAAATCTTTGCCATTTTTAATTCTTAATTTTGTTGTTTCATCTATAGCATTTCCTGTTAGATAAATAAGAAGTTTGATTTCTGCTATTGTCAAATGAACACCAAATCTGTGAAGAATGTTAAATAACCTTTTCCATCGAAAATTTAATACTTTTTTATCAACTCCTTGAAACCACTCTCTTATGGCATTTGCCATGATGATTTCTTCACTTGCTAAAAGCCTCGCATCACTAAAATATAGGTTATATATTGGTTGAAATAAATAAATTTATAGACTTGTTTTCTTCTTTCAATTTGAAGAAGTTAAATAAATTGTGAATAAAAATGGATTACTAGTAATATTTAAAATTGTGATTATTATAAGAGTTTGTTATAAAAAACATTGTTACGCGAAGTATAAAACCTGACACATAAAGTAGGTAAATAATTTCAAAGTTTAAGATATTTTTGCAAGCATTATTAAATTAAAATTCCCATTCATATTTTTTAAATTATTAACATTTAAATATGCGATTGTAAAAGTAAAAATGTTTTTCCAAAATTTGAAGATTTTCCGTCAGTTATTGAAACAGAAAATAATCCTGAACATGGCGGACATGGCGTCGTCGCCGCCTGATCGTAAGGCAGGTAAAGTAATTTTTTCTGATTACATATGCAGATTTTTAGCATAATATATGCAACGACTACTCGCATGTTACGCATATTTATTTAATGTTTCAAATAAAATGTACATTTTTAGCTAAAATAATTGTTGAAAGTTAAAATAAATTCTACATATTTAATTTAGTAACTGATATTTTCGCGCAGTCGGAAATAGAAACCGAAAGCAGACAGCTAGTTCATTTCATGCGCTATCAGAATTCCTTTCGTGATTGGTATTTGGCCTTAATATGGTTTTAGTTTATAGATTTGAATGGTTGGATAAACGTAGTTTGTCGTAAACGGCAAATATCACGTGCTTGCTAGAATGTAAGGTGATATGGGGTATTATTTTGTTCATGACAGTAAATTTAAAGAAATGTTTTAATACTGTTATTCGCAAGCGGTTATCACTATGAACGTAATTTTACTCTATCATTTTGCACTTTATTACTGATGAAATGAAATTTTACAATTACAGGTAACGGGTAAAAATATTTTTAGGAAGGAAACACAATGGAGTGGTAACGTTATCTTACATTTAATATAACACAAATTATAGATTAAACTTAAAGGGTACTTCAGTTTGAACTGAAAGCAAGGTGGAATAGGGCAAATACATAAAGCCTCACATGACTTCCATTGTTTTGTTAGGCAAAATAAATTATATGTATATATCTATACTCTCAGCATAAACAGGTGGTAATATACATAATTTAGTTGCTGGAAGATTAAATATACTGAGAATGAGATATCTAAAACTCTGCTCATACATATTTTACTTGTATGTTTACAACTTACATGTCCTTTAATCTGTCATAGTTCAAACTTTATCATGAATACCTAGTTTAATATGTTCTTATATACTACCTTTGCATTAATAGCTTAATTACTTAAGTATCTGATTAACAGACAAATTCTGATAAACTGTTATTTAAGAACATGAGATGTTTTAGTACTGAATTAATACAATTAATTAAGTCATGTTGATTTTCTTTGATAGTTTGTTGTATAAATGTTTAGTATAGAAAATTAATAATTGATGGGGAGTAGTTAGTATTTTTACAAAGTTTGGTCATTAATCTATTTGGTTAGATACCTTTTGCTTTCTGGTTAAATTATAATGCAAATGTTGTGAAATTATCTATTGAATATATCTTGTAGTAAGATTTGTTTTATTTGTAAATTTTAAAATAAAGAAATATAAATTTTGAGATTGTTTGACATGGTTGTTAGAAGAAAACACCAAGAAGAGTCTGGAATGAAGTTCCATGTTGAGTTGAATTGCTTTGGTATATGGAGGGGTGATTTTGAATAGCTGAATGGCCGTCTGTTACCATGCTTATTCTTATTATACAAAAAAAGGGGAGGGGAGGGGAATTGACATCTTCTGTGATATGTCTTTTTTCCAAGAATGTAGATTTTTATTTATATACATGTATGCACATAATGTTCCCTTTCTCTTACTCTCACAATATTTACAGAATACTAATTAGTGTTTTAAAAGTCTCATTGAGCTATTTAACAACATCAGAGGCATCTATTTCTATCATCACATGTGGATAACTTTTATTATTGTATGAGAAATGAAGCTGTTTCTAGGTGGCTTTGCAAGTACTGTGTCAAACATGATTGTATTATTTCTAACTCCAGTTTATTTCCAGCCTAAATATCAAAGATTCACTGTTTTTCTAACTTAATTCAGTATAACCAATGTCAATGAAATGTTAGGAAGAGCTGATTCTGTTGAGGATATTTTTATCATCCAAAAGGCTTTAACAGGCTTCTTGAATGAGCTTAAGCATGGCATATGAGCTTTAAAATCATGTAGTGTAAAATAATTATTGTAAGATATGTAAACTAGGAAAGGACTTGCTTTTCTGAGTAGACAATGGTGCTGTGAGAAAAAAAGAAGTTAGATGTGACTATTGATAAAGTCCTGAAGTAATGAAGGAGTAAATGGTACAAAGATTCTTTCTTAAATAGGATAATCAAACTGAAGAACACAGTATTTCAATTCAGGTCTAATAAGTACCTTACAGGGTGATTTAATAACCTTATTTGACTTAAACTTGGCATTTATACATACTTAATTAAATATATTGCTGGGATAGCTGGTACATACTTGGACATTATATATATTTCCTTGTAATTAACATTAACTTCCTATCAGAGCAAGCTACCTGCGTAGAGGAAGACTAAAATTCAATGTGGTTACAGTAATGACTATAGTAATGACTATACTATACTTTTTTCGTATTGTTATTCATAAATATCAGGTTGTATTGTTTCATCAGTTGGATACCCATGCTGCTAATGACATTTTCAGGTATAATAGAATGTGGAGAGATAGTCTAGGCATGTGAATGGAGAGAACAAATAGTCTATACTTCATTAAGGATAAATGAGAAGATAAAATGTGAAGTACAGTTTGTGAGTGAGGCTGATAAAAATATTGTCAGGGAGAAGTTTTAAGATATCCATTCACACTTTTTTTTTCTTGTAATGGAAATTAACCATTATTTATGTTGTATAAAGGTGAAGCTGGCAATTATTGAAGCTGTTTATGGTAGAAAATATAATGAACTATCATAGTGATGCAAGACTAGAATATACTTTTAACTGGTTTAACATAGATTTCGAGTAGAAAACAGTGTGCTTTAGTTCACTGTTGATTTAATAAAATACTTGAACAAATCTGACATAATACTTACATATAGGCTTGCATTAAAATTGAAAAAAGAAGTTGTGAATATCTAAATTTACAGCTTTTGAAAACTGAGGATTAAAGATGATAAACATTTAAATCTTTTAAGCATTCTGGCTTTAGGTGTATATGTATGAAACCTCTTAATTATTTTTGTTATAAAATTAAGTCTGTTGAAAGAAAGGGAATATTTATTTGTAAAAGCTGCATTAGAAATTTGGGATCTTTAACTTTGTATGTGGTTGATTACTGTGATGAACATACAGAGAGAATGCCACCCTTATGTTAAGGCTTCTTGTATTTGGTCATTGGAATCATAATTTGTTCCTAACATGCTGTGGTATGCAGGTATATCATAGATTTTATACTTCCTAATTTTAATATAGAATTTTTCAAAGTTTTTTGTTTATTCTAGATTTATGCAGTTTTTCACATAACACTTAGTCAAGAAAGTCATTAAATTGATTTTATTCTAGCTACCTTGGTTCTTTGTCATTCCTTTGGAGATAACACCTGGTCTGCCCATGAAGGATATGGTTGTAAAGCTGCCCCTTGTGCATGAAGGTTGACAGCAGTGTCCTACAATGGTAGGTCAAGTGATATCTCGAGGTTACCATTTCCTTTAAGTTTGAATGAGAATGACTGGTTATGTGGATAGTACTAGTCATTCTGAATAAGTCTGACACAACTGACTAATCTATGTACCATGACGTTTAGTAAATCTGAAACAACATCTTTAGTGAGTCAGTCAGTTTGTAAATAAGTCTTGAGAGAGTATTGCCAGTCTGATCAATTCACAACTTCAGTATGGTGAAGGACATGCTGTTGAGTTGTGTAGTGTTATAATAAAGATTGTTTTTTAATTTGTATCACACTTTGTATCCAGTCCATTTATTTATTAACACATACTCGGTTAGTTTTAGTAGAATTCAGAATTACTTCACATTTTGTCTTGCCAGACTTCCCGTTATATAATTGACCAATCTAATTTACTCTTTTGGGAAACCATTTTACTTAAAAATACCACAAAGCTACTGAAAAATCTCAAAGATAGCCCTTATCATTCAAATATTTATCAAGTTTCCCTTAGGTTCCCTTAAATTTATTGAATCCATGACATCTGAAGGCTGTCTATTCCAAAGACAAATGACCTGTTAAAAAAAAGGTCTTCACTGAAAATGACTCTTACCCTACTAAAATTTATATTTGGGTCCTCTAGTCCTACCATTCTCACCATTAAGTGTGAAAAAAGATGGTGCTCTAACATTATCAATTCCCTTAATCTTAAATACCTTAATCAGATTCTCTCTAACTCTTTTTTTTTCAAAAGAAAACAATTTCAGAGATTTGAACATGTCCTCATATGACAACCTTTTTGTTCCAGGTATTATCCTAATAGGCCACTTCTGAACCCTTTCCAACAATTCAACATCTTTTATAAGGTAAGGAGCCAAAGACTGAGCACAATACTCCATATGTGGCCTAACCAGAGACCTATACAATCAAATCATAACCCCTTTACACTTGTATTTGGTGATTCTGTATATAAAAACTAAAATCCTATTTGCTGTACCACTAGCAATTTCACACTATTTGGACAGCATAAGAGACTGATCAACCAGAACACCAAAATCCTTTTTTTCCATAATGCTGTAATACTTGTAATACAAATTATGATTGATAACCTACATGTATTACTTTGTATTTGTTATAAGTAAAAGCCATCTGCTATTTATTTCCACAACTCACTAGATAATCTCAACCATTTTGTAAATCAGCTGCATCCTCCTCACAGATAGTCACACCCAAGACCTTAATATCAATGGCACTACATTTTTCTGTTTGTTGATTTTAGGCTTCATTATTGATTGCGAGAACTCTTTTTTTATTTGAAATTATTTCTCAGTCTCTACTTTATAGAGATTAGTGAAATCACTACTTTGTACAGTTGCATTGCATTCTTTTGTGACATAACATGACAATACACATGCAAGTTGTTTATTGTCTAGTACACCTGCATTTTTTGCATAATTGTAAGATGTTTTATGTGTTTCCAATATTATTGCGTTTCAAAGCTTCTTCTAATGAAATTTGCTCCTCTTTGGCTTATGTAAATGCACAAAAAAGAATTTCTTCTTGTTTAAGTTTCACATAAGCAAAAAATAAAGAATAAGTTTAAACAAAGTAATCTGTTTTTTTAGTGATGTATTTTTTTGGAACACCCTATACAATAAAGTATTCACCTGTAGAGCTTTATGGTGGTAATCTTGGAAGCACACTGTGGACTTGTGTATGAAGAAGGTATCATGCATGTTAACTATATTTGTAGTGTTACATTTTACGATATGATGTTGGACATATTCCAAATAATTATGTAAATATAAGATAGTACAGGGAACATACTTTTAAGATGTTATGTACATAAGTGATAACTATTTTTTTTTTGTGTAATTTGTTTATTTATACATTTACCTTTATAATCTTGCAAAATGGTATTTGAACTTATCCAACTTTCCAGCTAAATCTTGTACTTAGGGTATGGATGTAGTCTTTCAGTTTGTGAGACTGCACTATGAAATATGCTAGCTATGTAGTTTCTACATATATCATAAAACTCAGGTTTTGACCAACTGGGAACTGTTGTTTAGAACTTTATCAGCTGTTATCAACTTCAAAATGTAGGAATGTAAAAATGGGTGTATAAGCAAACATTATATAAAGTATACTCATTTCAACAAATATTTTTGCCACCTATAGAACTAAACATAGCTTATGTAGTTTTAAAAATTCTATTCTGATGTTATGGTATAGGTTTTCTACAAAGGGCTCAAAACTGTTGCAGATGTAGTATTATTTGTATGAGGCACTAGTTGAAGGAGCACTCATTAATAACTTTTGGAACAATAACATTTCTCTATGGTCAGGCTTTCAATCTTATAAAAGCATTATAGCCAATGGAAGTATTCAGGTAAGGCCCAAAAATGAAATAATGAAATCAAAGGTCTATCTCTTTATGTACCTGTGTATCCAAATACATGTGTGCACAAATATTTAGATACATGTAATTCTCACTACTTCCATATTCATCTAATGTATGAGGATGATGGTTTCCCAGTGCAATTGCAAAGAAATCAATAGATGCTGCATCCTGCAACTTCACCAGTATGTCTTTGTATTGAATAGCATGAATACCCATTTTATTTTCCAGTTGTTTGAGGTGTGTGATGGTTGAATGGAAGGTATGATTGGAGCCATTTATCATGGTGAACTAATAACCTATTGGTCTCTTTTTCCAGATGAAGATTCTTCTTGGTTATGGCGAGTAATGTTGCCTGGGTCACTGGATTACCTTAGCCACTGACTTTTTTGTTTGTGAATTCTTCCCTGTTACACAGCTGGGGATGTGACTTGTTGCAGGTCTCTTTCTTGCCTTCTGCCCCAATTTTGTCCATATTCCTTTGTTTGCCAATGTCATTAAGTACAAGGGATATCCCTGTTTTGGAAATTCAAACTTCTGGATCTAAACACTTCTTTATGATTTGAGTGTAGGAATATTTAGTTTCATACTCTTCTGCTGCACTCATTTATTTAAATTTACAGTAGATGAAATAATTCAAAGCTGAAATTTGATTAAAATACAAAAATAATTACAAGAAAACAATACAGTGCAGTATATTCATCAGTAAATAACACTGATGCAGTCAAAGTGAAAGTGAAAACTTAAGCTTTTCATGGATTCACCTTAATTTGACAGATTAATGGTACACCAGAAATACCCCTTTAAATAAAAATATATGTTTTCTGTAGACATGTATTTCCCATTAGCATGTTATTCTATTTACATTGCCTGTTATTTGTCTGTTTGTAATGCCTTTTATATATTTTAATTTACAAAACTATATACTTTTTCTTTTTTAAACACACCTATAAATCACAATATGTTTAAAATGGCCCCCCAGTGGCACAGCGGTATGCCTGTGGACTTACAACGCTAGAATCTGGGTTTCGAAACCCATGGTGGGCAGAGCACAGATAGCCCATTGTGTAGCTTTGTGCTTAATTACAAACAAACGTTTAAAATGTATCAAAATATAAATTTAATAATTTTGTTGAGTAAGTCTAAATATTCCTGTGAGTGATTTTGGTTTACGTTCACAAGTGTTGTGTTTTGTATTTTAAAAATATTGTTTAGTAATTTTAGTGAAATACACGTCTCTCACCGTGTATGTTTATCGTTTTAATTCAGTATCACTTTAGTGTAGTAGTGTTATTAACAAAGTTCAAGGGGAAAGTACAAAGTACACTGGTTTTTATCAACATCCCCCTCCCCCCAAAAAGGGCGTAGGCTCTTTTGCTGATTGTGGGAAAAAAATGAGGGTGGAGGGAATAAAAAAGGTGATCTTCGTATGGAAGACAAGCTGATTATTTTCTTGAAGTGGGCGAAGCGATAAATGTTGTAGTAGGAAACTATCATATTAAAATTGTCGAAACTTGAGTTGTACACGTTGTGATTTTGCATTTATTCTATACTTTAGTCTGAAGCAGACGCTTTTATTCAATGTGTGGAACTAATATTGATCCAGACTGAGCGTATACATCAATTAGGAATTATTTCACAGAATCCCAAGCCTAGATCCGCTTGTAAACATTTAATCAACCAGACCCGTGGTGTGCAAACTGTGGGGGTGCTTCCCCAAAGGAGAGCGCGCAATTATGACTATGGGAGCACAGAAATTAAAGTACAAATTTGAAAATTAAGAAGTTTTAAAAACTACCGTGTGAATAGTACTAATATTAAGTAATATAGTAACGATAATTATCATGTACAAATGACGGGAGTGGGGCAACAAAACACATGTTTAGAGGGGCGCTATAAAAATAGTTGCGTACCACTGATATATATTCCGGTGATTTTAACTCCCCTTAGATAACTTGTTATATAGTGATTGATAATACCTGTAGTAAGCTTTTGTGTATTTTATTAACCCATTGACTGGTGATTCGCCATATAGGGTATGGTCTGCCTCCGGCAGTTGAATGCGAGTGTGCCGTATACGGTGTACAAGTTGCAAAAATCCCGCACGTGTTTAGAGCAACCGTAGTCAGTGGGTTAATGAAGCATTTATATCTAAGTAATGACTGTAGACATAAATCGAATTATAAACTGTATTTTCAAAACTCAACATATTTTCAACCTGAATGTCACTTGATACGTGCTTAAGCTAAACAGACAAGGCTCAGGTGTAGCCGTGCCTAATTTTGAACTACAGACCAGATGAAAGGCAGACAGCCATCATCATCCGCTATTACAAGGGCTTTGTCTGACTTTTTTGAACAGAATAATAGGATTAACTGTCATATTTATAGCATGGCCATAGCTGAAAATGCAGATCATGTTCAGTTTGATCACGTCTCGAATCCTGGACCTTTTAAACCACAGCTCGACACTTATAGCTATGTCACGTCCGGTTCAATTTATTTAAAAGCTTATTGCTTCAAAAAAGCTTTTGAATTGGATAAGTCGCTGCCCATAATGTATAGAAAAAAAATTGTTTAAGGTTAAGCACAAAGTTACACAATGGGCTATATATATATATATATATATATGCTCTGCCCACCACGGTTATCGATGTAAGTCCGCAGACATGCCGATGTGCCATTGGGGAGTATGATAAAAAAAAGTAACGGTACATCGCGAAGTCTTTAGTCTGTGCCTGAAAAATAATTAAAGAAACATTATATTCATATCGAACACAAATTATTCAAATTCCGTACCGTAAAACCCAAAACTGTTGGCGAGCTCACCAAGTTTTATTAAAACAGAAGTTCATTACTCACACAGGCAACTGAAGTCTATCCATGGCCTACTACTACGCCCCCTCCAGTGGCGCAGCGGCTAGTCTGAAGGCTTATAATGCTAAAAACCGGGTTTCTATACTCGCGATGGGCACAGCATAGATAGCCCATTGTGTAGCTTTGTGCTTAACTAGAGACAAGCAAACAAACTACTACTGCGAAAATAGATGATAATTAAATGTAATGATACCTGATAAAGAAAACAGAGTATGGGATATAGGCACAGCAGTGCACGTGCCTTGCGTATGATAAATTCAAAATGTGCTTTGACCCAAATAAGAGATGGCAGTTTTTTTTTGCACACGAGCATCTGTCTTGATTTGAATGTTAATTTTCATATTATGCTGTTTCTGTGAGTACCAGGACTGAAACGTACACGCATTGTTCAGAACGAAAATATATACAACTTTCTTTGTCTTATGACTTATTCATATCTATAGTAATATGACAAAGTGAAGAGAGTTGCATGCAATCCAAACGCTGATGATTCATAAATTTATGATTATTTCGTTATGCATCGATACCCCTTATAAGGTTAAGATAGTAAGTGTTGCTGTCCTAAAAAGATCTGGTGGCTATTTCAGAA